ATAGATAGATAGATAGATAGATAGATAGATAGATAGATAGATAGATAGATAGATAGATAGATAGATAGAAGCCCTCCAAGGTCCCTTCCAGCTCTATTCTGATTGATTGATTGATTGATTGATTATTGATTGATTGATTGATTGAAGATCTCTAAGGTCCATTCCACTCTATTCTGATTGATTGATTGATTGATTGATTGATTCATTAAAATGGTTGAGGGTCTCCTGCTTGAGCAGGGCGTTGAACTAGAAGACCTCCAAGGTCCCTTCCAGCTGTATTCTGATTGATTGATTGATTGAAATGGTCTAGGGTTTCCTGCTTGAGCAGGGGGCTGGACTAGAAGACCTCCAAGGTCCTTTCCAGTTCTATGCTGGCGGATGGATCCAAATGAAAATCCATTCAAAGCAAAATCCCGTTTTAGTGGGCTGCACCCCGTCGCAAAATGAACTTTGCTTCCCGGTCATTAAATAGGAGCGGACCTGGGCAGGAAGTCTCGAGGTGGCCTCCCAGCTGTGCAGAGATCGGCTTCCAAGATGTACGCCGTGGCTTCCCGCGTTTGAAGTGGACAGTGGCGCATGGAGATCCCCGTCTCCCGCATCCCGGATTTTGGGGAGGCCAACAGGAGATGCTTTAAAAGAGAATATGGTTCGGGTCTCTGTCGACACTAAACTTGGGGCGGGGGGAACCTCCCAACAGCTTGCCTTATTTTGAACCCGTGCCATCGCAGGGCTAGTCCTCATCTTACGACCCCAGTTGACGACCCCCACATTTCCGTTGCTAAGCGAGACCATTTTAATTTCGCCCCATGCACGGCATTTTCTGGCCACCATCGTTAAGGGAATCATTGCGGGGGTTCCATTAGGAACACGGTCGTTAAGCAAATCTGGTTGACATTGCTTGTCGCTAAAGGGGGATCACGTGACTGCGTGAGGCTGCGACCGTCGTAAATATGAACCGGTCACCAAGCATGTGGATTTTGATCACGGGGGTGGGGTGGGTTTTTTTGCTCCAATGGTCGTTAAGTGGGAAAACCGGTCGTAAGTCCCTTTTCACCGTGCCGTTGTGACCTGGAACAGTCGCTGTAAATCGTGGACTGTTTGTTCCTTCCTGTCGTTTTCTCTCTTTCCTTGTCCTTCCATCCTTCGGCAAATATCCGCCGTTAAAGAAGAAATCTGTCTTAGACTTCGGGGAATGTCCGTAAATAGAAATAATTTATAAAAAAAAAGATTTGATTTTATGTTTTTATTACTGAATTTTATTTTTTTTACTTTGGGGTGGCAGTGAGTTCCACAGGACGACAATGCTTGGCTTAAGGATCTCATTAACACATCCTTGTCTCCATCCTGAGAGCCTCATTGGCCGGTGTAATAAAAAGGGCCGTGTCTTCCACTTTTCCCCCTTCCGCTCACTTCCTTCCTGCACCAGATTTACACGTTGCAATGTTGCACCAATATATTTCACACGCTGGACTCCGAGCTGAGGCCTCTACAGATCTTGGGACCTGTGCTGGAGATGGGGAGGGTTGGACTAGATGATCTTTAAGATCCCCACCAATCTTCCAGTCTAGGATTTTATACTTTAACTTGGATTCCTCTCTTGTCCAAAGATTTCAACTAGACTAGGATTCAGCCCAGCCTACCTTGCAGGGTTACTGCAGGGGGAAATCCAAGGGAAAGCAGGAAATGTGATTTTTCTCCCGCGTTTCGTTCCCACAATCGTTGGGGTAGGGAGTGCCCCGGTTAGCAGGTCTCATAAACAACTACGCCACCCAGCAGGCTGGGCTGAAGCAACACGGCAGGCCACATCTCCTTGCTATTCTCGAACCCGGGATCATGGTTTGTCAGGACCAGACAAAAACTCGGCTCTTTCACCGCTAGGCTGCACAGCCAAAGCTGGACAGCTTCACCTAGTCCAAAAAAGAAAAGAAAAGAAAAGAAAAGAAAGAAAGAAAGAAAGAAAGAAAGGAGGGGGGGAGGGAGGAAGGGAGAGAGAGGAAGAAAGGAAGGGATGGGAGGGAGAGAAGAAAGAGAAAGATTGATATAGATAGATGATAGATAGATATGAGAGGGGGAGAGATTATAGATAGATAGATAGATAGATAGATAGATAGATAGATAGATAGATAGATAGATAGATAGATAGATAGAT